GCGCCGCGCACCGCGTCCTCGCGCCGCCCTCCCGAGCTGCGCCGGCCCCGGCTCCTGTTGTCGTTGCTGCCGCTGCTGCTACTGTTGCCGCTGCCCGCACCAAGTCGGGGTGAGCTGGGGCTCAGAACCCAGGCGAAAGGGGCGGACCCCGGGACACCGCGCGGACCTGCGCTAGGAGCGCGTGCTGGCGAGACCAGGCGGGACAGCGCGCTGCGGGCACGGGGAGTCACTCTGGCAAGGCTACCTGTGGTTGGGAGGGTTGTTGGGCGGAGGACGGCGGGGGGCGCAGAGTCTCGGAAGAGGAGTCGGGGGGTCGGTTCCGTGGGCCTTGGGCTAAGTCCAGGGCTGGACCCTGATTCTGGTTGGAGGAGCTTAGAGCGCGGCAAAGCGTGAGTTGGGGAGACAGGCTGGCTTTGGGGACTGAAGGAAACCAGCCGGAGGAAAATGAACGGACGAGTCCCAACTGAGGAGGGAGTGCTCGGGTGTGCAGAGCTGGGTTGGAGTACCCTGAGTAGCCCCAGGCAACTGAAGCCGGAAGCGGCAGATCCGGGTCCGGGGTTGGGGGCGCGCCTGCATGGGACTGAGAAGGCATCATCTCCTACCCACTCCCACCCCACAAACACACTAAACAGTGTTTAGAACTGGGACTAGGTCCGGGAGTAAACGAGGAAGAGGAAAGAAAGATTCCCGGTGGACAGGGAAGGTGACCCTACCAAGAGCCCGGAGAGCCGCCGGAGAGGTGATGTCGACCAGGGCAAGCGCCTGCCAGCCTCACTGCCCAGGGCCCCGCCCTTCCCCGAGGGAGCTCTCTAGAAGTCCTTCCCTGGGTTTGCGGGGCCACCCGTCGCTTCCTAGGTGCCTGTAAAAGATTCATATCACCCCAGAAGGGTGTGAATCTAGGTCCTTCTCTTTCTCAAGTTCGTCGCAGACACACATTTGAACTAGTCTCTCCCTCCCCAAAAGCAAAATATTGCATCTGTACCCAGAAGAAACTTTATCCCCTATGGCTTCAGCGGGGTTGGCTTGGAGGCGGAGGCGGCTCAAACTTAGGGTGTGTGGAGGATGCGAGGGATTTAAAGAGTGTGAGCATCAAACGTCTTAAAGTGTCCTTATCCTAGAAAGGAGGCAATGCCTAGGCACCCCTACCCCGCCCCAAGACTAGGTCTCGCTCAGCAGGGAAGGGCTTGAATCTGTTAGAGAGAACCCAGGTCCAGGATCACAAGGCCTGGAAATGTGAGGAGGGGGCTCTATGCCCACGCTTTTAGACAAGGAGGGCTTGCTTATTCCTCTTGCAGTGAAGTCATAGCTGATCTGGTAAATTGCTTGCAGGAGAGATTGGCTGTCACCCGTGGGATATGAGTGCTTATTCCTTTTGCCTGGGCCCTGATTCACTCCTAGTCACCATCACACACACACACACACACACATACACACACACACACACACACACACACACACTCTTCTCATTTTTATCCTGCTAGAGCAGTGATGTTACCTGGGAGTGAAAATTATAGACACACACACATACACACTTTCTGCTAAATTTAGGAAATCTAAATTCATGTTTATTATTTCTGATCTCTCCTTATAACAAAGGCCAAAGGACCAACACCCAGAGCCTGGGGTAAGGGAAACAGTACAGGTCACACATAGACTAACCTGTACCCTGAATACTGCTCCCAACCAGGCCCTGGACCAGGTCTCTGATAGTTTTGCCAGCAAATGGAAACCTGATTTATTGCGATCTTGCTCCAGTGTTTAGGTTTGATTTGGTTTGGTTTTTTGAGACAGGGTTTCCCTGTATAGCTCTGGGTGACCTGGGACTCCCAACTCACTCTGTAGACCTGGCTGGCTTCCAACTCAGAGATCTACTGGCCTCTGCCTCCTGAGTGTTGGAACTAAGGGTATGCACCACACCAGGCTTAATTTTTTTCTTTTCCTTTTTTTTTTTTTTTAATTCACAGTAAGGGGGAATCTTTGTCACCCTTGTATGTGGATGGCCAGAATGCCTCCCTGCTTAATGGATGTGCCACGTGCCTCCACCTTACCAGCTCTGGGATTCCAGGCAACCACCATGTTGGATTTTGGTGCTGGGGAACGACAGACAATTTTTGTATGCTAGGCAAACGCTCTACCAACATTCCCAGCCCTTTGCATTGCTTTAGCGATCTTAATTTTCCTCAGCGCTCCTTTTTAATTATGTCACATTTAAATAGTTGATGAGGGGCGCCAGGATACATCGGAAAGTCTGTGCGGGTTCGGTGCCTGTGCTGGGCGGTGGCCCAAGCAGCAGCAGAGTGTTAGGAGCAGTTTTGCTTTGGAGACTCTGATTCGGTTTTATTTGGGGGGTGGGGGCAGGGAGTCTCTGTGTAGCCCTGCCGGTCCTGGAGCTCACTCTGTAGACCAGTCTGGCCTCAGACTCAGAGATCCATCTGCCTCTGCCTCCTGAGTGCTAGGATTAATGGTGGGTACTGGGATTAAAGACATGTGCTACTGGGGCCCAGCTGAGACTCTATTTTTTTTTAGTTTAGTTTGTGTGTATGGGTGTTTTGCTTGTATGCATGTCTGTGCATCTCTTCTATGCCTGGGTGACATGGAGGCCAGAAGAGGGCATTAGATCCCCAGGGCTGGATGCAGATGGTTGTTGTGTCCCCATGTGGGTGCAGGAAAATGAACGCGAGCCCTCTGGAAGAGAAGCCAGTGCTTTTAGCCACCGAGCCATCTCTCCAGTCCTCCAAGACTCAGATTTGCAACGACCAATTGTGAGTCCCTGGGCAAGTCACCTGACATCTTGAGGTTCCAATTTTTTTATCTGTGAAAGAAAGAGGGATACAAATGGCATTCACTTTTCTGCAGTAGTTGGAATTAAGTAAAACATTGCACAGGATGGCGTTTTGTAAACATAAAAGTTCTGTGTATAATAGGGATTTCTATTAAGCCCAAAGATACATCACAGGGATGTGATGGGTAATAGAACCATAAAATTTGAAATCTCTGTGTATGGAATTCTTCCTGGCTATATGTGCATTCCATGCTAACATCTCCTCTCCTTTCATTTCCCTTTCCCTGACGCAGGTCTGGGCCACTCCGCTGAACTGGCATTTGCTGTGGAGCCAAATGATGATATTGCAGTCCCTGGACAGCCCATAGTGCTGGGCTGCAGAGTGGAGGGGACCCCTCCAGTGCAAGTCTCCTGGAGGAAGAACGGAGCCGAGCTGCCTGAGGGCACCCACTCTACCTTACTGGCCAATGGGTCCTTGCTGATCCACCACTTCAGGCTGGACCAGGGAGGTGGCCCTTCAGACGAGGGAGACTATGAATGTGTGGCTCAGAACCGCTTTGGGCTGCTGGTCAGTCGGAAGGCTCGTATCCAGGCTGCAAGTAAGTAGATGTCGCTTTTTTCCCTTGACATAAACCAGCCTGGTGACCAGTGTCAGTCTATGTCACGAGAGCAGTGTGTGTGTGTGGTGGGGGGAGGCCCATTTTGTGAAGCTCAGAAGAACAAATTTTCTAGCTTGGATCAGTTGACTGGTGGCACGGGGTGTCTTTGCGTGGAATGACAGTTATGTTATGTGCTCTTTTTAGTGACTCGAATGTAAACTGACAGGACTGTAGTCGAAGACTCATAGGCTGGTGGCGGGGCCTCATCCATGTCTTCATTCAGTTGTGTCTCGTACCAGGAGCATCCTGGTCCATTGAGTACGTTCTGGTGTATAAACATAGAATAATCTGCCTCATTCTGTGGGGCACCTAGATTTTTAAAGAGTCATTTTAATAACATGAATAAATTTTTAGCTATAGATTAAGTTTTGAAACATTTTGAGTAGGGTAAGACTTCACTATGCCAGTAATAGGGTTCGCAAACCTGTCAACAATTTTCTTTAAGAACAAAAACAACAACAAAAATATGTGGTAAGTGGTGCTGGGGAAGCAGCCAAGTCGGCAAGGCATTTGCCACACAAGCAAGAGGGACTGAGTCTGGTCCCTGGAACCCTTGTCAGGAGCCAGGTGTGGAAGCAGCAGCCTGCAGTTCTAGCTGGGGAAGGGAAGTTAGGAGGTGTAGTACGGACACTAAGTGGTTTTAATAATAAAACCTCCCGGTCAGATATGGGGTAAATGCTGAAAGATCAGCGAAGCAGAGCAGCCAGCCACCAGTTCTTACCTCTACCGAGTGCTCAGACTGAATGCTGTGAGCTCCTGTCTCCACCTGCCTTATACTCCTTCCTGCTTTATGTCCCTCTCTCCGCCCAGCCATATCCTTTCCTGTCTCCACCTCCCTGGTGCTGGGATTAAAGGCATGTGACTCCTAAATATTGGGATTAAAGGTGTGAGCCACCACCGCCTGGCTCTGATTCTCGTTTAGATTGGGTTGTTCTTGTGTAGCCCAGGGTGGTCTTGAACTCACAGAAATCTGTCTGCCTCTGTCTCCTGAGTGCTGGGATTAAAAGTGTGTGCCACTACTGCCTGGCCTCTATGGCTAACTAGTGGCTACCTCCCCACTATGATGTCAGGCAAGCTTTATTTGTTATAGCACAAACAAAATATCACCACAAGGAGGAGCCCTGAAGCTCATTGCCCAGCCAGCTCAGTTGAGTTGGCAAGCCTTAGGTGAAAATGAGAAACCTTGCCTCAAAAAAAACAAGGTGGACAGCATTGCTGAGGAAGATGCCTAAGGTTGATCTCTGGTGCACGCGCGCGCGCACGCGCGCACACACGCGCGCGCGAACACACACACACACACACACACACACACACACACGCTCCACTTGGACATACACACGCACACAATAAATAATTGTTAAAAAGAGAAGAGATTAGCCAAGTGGTGGTGGTGCACACCTTTAATCCCAGCACTCGGGAGGCAGAGGCAGGCCAATCTAACCTACAAAATGAGTTTCAGGACAGTCAGGGCTCTTATACAGAGAAACCTTGTCTCAGACAATGAGGGGGGTTATTGGAGGAGGAAGAGAAAGAAAGGAAAGAAGGAGGAAGAAAAGACACTCCTCTTGAGAAATGGCAGGGGTTGAGAGGCCAGTGGACAGTGTTCTCCATCCTAAATTTCTGTACTCCAGGGAAGCAGCTTAAAAACACGGCTTTGACTTTAGTCAAATGCTAGCCAGCATTTATTCAGTACTGGCTGGATGCTGAGCACCCAAAATTCCTTATGTGACTTATTCCATTGATTCCTCACAGCGACTGAGGGAGACATTCACTAACATTCCCCTTTTAGAGATGAGAAATTTGGGCCTGGAGGAGGATGGGTTCAGTAGTGACATTCTGGGAGGCAGAAGAGCCAGACTGCAGCCTGGGCAACCTGAACTCTCTACCCTCCCACTTAACTCCTATGGCATGCTGCCTCCTTTCCTGTGAACGCTGACAAGTTCCTTCCTGGCTCAGGGGACATTTGCAACTGTGACTGTGAAGGGGCTGGTGAGTGATGAATTGTTCCAGGCAGGAGCCCTCGTGCTGGGCTGAAGATGCCCCTTTGTTCTGAGGAAGGCTGATCCAGGCCCCCATATGGAGCTTGCTGGGAAGCAGTCCTGGACTTGGAGATGGGAATCACTTTTGGCTCAGCCACCCCTGGCCCTGGCCCTCTCCACCAGGCAAGAGAGACTGGTACAGCCTCTGAGCAGACGGCCGGTGTGTGAGTAGGGGTTGGGATCCAGAGGAAGACCTGGAGTCTGGGCTTGAGGGAGGAAGAATGAGGAAAAGGAGGAAGAAGGAGACTGAGAGGAACTGCCCAGGAAAACACTGCTTACCTCCCTGGTCTGTTCTGTTTTATTTTATTTATTTCGGCAAGTACAGTGAACTTATTGATGGCGTTCAAGAGACTAATGCTCCCTAAGCTCCTCCCCCTTCTTCTGTGGGTCTGGAATGGAAACTGTGAGGGGAGATAGATACTTGAGTATGTGTTTCAGGACTGAGTTGGGAGAGGGACTCCTCAGCAGCGAGGGCCTCTTTCTTTCTCTCTGTTCTTTCTGGGGTGAATTGTCCAAAGTTTCTTACTCCTTGGAGGCCATGTAAATCATCCACCACCCTGTTGCTGCCATAGCAGGAAATGAGAACAGTGCCAGCTCCAGCATCAAAGGCGGAAGGTGGGCAGCACGGTTGAAGACTTAAGAGACAACCTGGTCCTCAGGGTGGCCCAGGATGCCTTTTGTGAACACTCAAAAGTCTGCTTCCCCACCTTCTGGATGTCATTGTACCTGGCAGCTTTCTCCAGGTGGCATGTCAGATCCACGACAGACACACTAGGGGTAGGAACGTGGAAGACCTTGCCAGTGAGCATCCCCTTCGGCTCTGGGGTGACCTTTAATGGTAAGGACTATGGTGATGAGTCCTTCTATACTGCCATGGCCTGCTTTAGTGCAAAGAGATAGAGGCCTGTTGGGTCTTTGCATCACCAGCAAAGGATCCTGGGAGGTAAAACCTCAGAAGGAGAGAGAAGAGGTGTGAGGGGAAAATGGTAGATGTGTTTCCTTTTTTTCTTTTTTTTTTTTTTTCATGCTGGAAGTCAAACCCAGAGTCTTAAACATATTAAGTAAGGATTCTATCTCTCAGTGTCTTTGTCTGTGTGTTGTATTGTGTACATGTTCATGTGTGTGCACATCTGAGGGAATGTACATATATGTATGGAGGACAGAAATTGATGTCAGGTGTCCTTAATTACTATCAACTCTACTTTTTAAAATAGTGTTTCTCATTGAACTCAAAGCTCACCGATTTAGCTAAACCAACTGGCCAGCATGCCCCAAGATCCTGCTGCTTCCACTCCCTAGCCCTGGGGTTATAGGCCCAGCTTTTTTACATTGGTTCAGGAGATCTGAACTCAGGTCCTCACACGTGGGCAGCTGGATATCAACCAAACATGGCATATCAAGTTGCCATGAGACTAGGCATCTCTTCTTGTATTAATGCTGGACAGGGCAGCCCAGTATGAGGAGTAGGATCCCCCCAAACGCAAAAGAGACAGAGACAGCAACTGCTCCCACTATTAGGAGTCCCACAAGAAGACCAAGGTACACAACTGTAACATATATCAGTCCCATGCTGGCTCCTTAAACCACATTCTTCCGAAGGTGGGCTGTGCTGCAGTCTGACTTATCCTTGGAACTTCAGTTTGGGATACAGCAGCTCGGGATCCTAAGATCTATGCATGGTCTTGGGATTCTTGGACTCTGCCTTGCTGTCTCACAGGCTAATAGCGTGAGACTTGAAAACAGACGTGCTAATGTGGAGTTCCTGTTCCCTTGGCCATCTCCTGGCCCTCAACACATGCATCGTCTTTCCTCGAAGGAGAGTCATGAGGACCAGTGCATCCTAAACTGCCTGACAAACAGGGGTCACTCAGGAACCCGTGTTTGTTTAAAGTCATCTTCACAGACAAAAAGCTTTAAGCATAATCTTCAGCTAAAGCCAACTTCCTGATTCCACTTCCCGCCTGGGTTTTCTCACTTGTTGGCATTCATCTAAAAAAAGCTTCATGGAAATTTTCCAGGCCAGGAGTCTGTGGGCTCCATGCTCTGTGTGACCCTTCCCAGCCTACCTACCAGAGACTCCCTGCAATCCCTCTTGGGGACACATGCATTCATTGACTCCCTTTCGTTGAATGGGATTTTTGTAGCTGGTTTACTTCAAAAAGGGATGATTTTTAGGGCTGAAGAGATGACTCAATGGTTAAGATAACCTGTTGTTCTTTCAGAGGACCCAGGTGCAATTCCCACCACTCATGTGGCACCTTACAACCATCAGTAACTCCAGTCCCAGAAAATCTAATGCTTTCTTCTGGCTTCCTTGGGCACCAGGCACAGACGTAATGGTGCACAGACACACATGCAGGCGAAACACCCATACACATAAAATCAAAATGTTTTAAAAGGAGGGGGATGGCCTAGGTTCAAGTGGTAGAGATAGGGAAGGGGTCCACAACAAGCTCTCTGTCTTCCAGTAGAACCTCTCAGCCCTGCCTCTTGATTCTTGGTCCCAGGCTCCTGGGGGAATGGAAGAGAAACGCCCTATGATCAAGTTCAAGGATTTCCCAAACGGAACCCAACCTGACAACTCCCCAGGCTGGGGAGATCTTGATAAGATGCGGTTTTGAATCTAAACGTCTAGACTAGGCCCAGATTTCTGCATCTAATGAGAACCCAGGTAATGTCATGCTGACCCACAGCTGCCTCCGCATGGCCACCCAGGCTCACGTCATATAATCTAGAGTTTGGAAAACTTAGGGTGGCCTAGTGAAGTCCTAGAGCCAAGGCTTCAGGGGCAGAGGCCGGGTGGGTTTGAACCAGCTCTGTTCCTTATCGATCAGAAGCTCTGCACAGTGTTACTTAACCCTCTTGAGTCACTGCCTCCCCATCTGGCCACAGGCTGTGATC